CCATAAATCAGCTCAATGGGCTCTGGGCTGAGGCTTCTTGCACAAGCAAAAATAAATGGCATGGATGGGAAGATGCCATCAGGAAGGAATATCCTTGTCACAGGATTGGGTCTCCTTTTTAAGTCCCACGTAACAAAGAAGAAACCAAGCAGAAAAAAAATGAATATACACCTCTGGGTCTGTCTAGAGACAGTGCAAACACCATAGACTGTCTTAGTAAAGCAAGCAGTAAAATGGATGTTATTCCAGCAGCCTTTTAGCCACCTCTTAAATGAAAATTAACTGTTGAATCAGTGCATAGGTTTGCCTAGTACTTCAATTATTGATCTGTAGTTTGCGTGGTTTTAAAGTGTTTGTCTATTCATTGGGGTTTTGGTTTTTCTGCAAATTAAAGAAAATGTTTTGTTACTTAAACCCATCCGACTACTGCCATGTGTAGGGAGATGTTTTTCAGGTCATTTGCAGAGATTAAGAGCTTGCCAAGCAAACCGTTTTCCTTCCTGAGTTCTGTTCATATATTAACACAATAGGAAGAAAAGCAAAACCAGGTGGAAAAATATCACACCCTTTTTTGGTGTTGTGTGTGGCAGTAGGAAGCTGTCGCTGTAGAATTGCAGTTTTCTTGTGTAACGTGAGACATTTTCACTTCTGCTTGCTTAAATGGCAGTATGCTGCACCATTCAGTAAGAGCGTTTCTGTTGTGGCCGTCGTAATGGAGCAAGATATCAACAGCATCAGGCACATGGAGTACTGGCAGTGCCTGTATGCAACTCCCATTAATGTCAGTGGGGGTTTTATGGATGGGTTGAGAGCAGTGCGCTGCCATTAGTGTTTAATTTTTTACAGTTGAGTGTGCGCCATCACTGAGCGTAGTTACATGCAAGAAAGATGGGTGAAGATAACAGTTCACTACTATCAAAGTCCAGGAGTGGCTTTACATGCAATGTATCCCCGCTTGCTTGTGCTTGGTTTTACAGTAACTAGGCTGGTAAACATACTATACGTGACTTGTCCAAATAGCGTGCTCTAAGTGTTGGAGCGACTTCATACCTGGAAAAAAATATGTTGGTTTTTGAAGGGATGATGTGGCTGACTTGATTTGTGTGCTGGACAGGGGAAGTACACTGATACTGTACCGACACTTGGCAGCGTTAGGTTAACGATTGGACTCAATGATCTTAAGGGTCTTTTCCAACCTAAATGATTCTGTGATTCTATGACACCGTGCCAGATCTCTGCAACAGAAAGGAAGGTAGTCTTTCCTCTGTGCTGGGCATACCTGGCTGTGTTGGGCTCTGGTTCTCCTGCGTGGTGGGTCAGGTCGGGGCTCTCGGAACTAGACCTGGCATCCCACGTGGACGTCTCTGGTTTTTGGGTGGTTTGTTTTTCTTTTCCGAGCGTGTGACAACACTAGCTGCAGGATTTCAGCATAAGCCTGGTGAATATCAATTAATTTCTTTTAAACATCTCCTGTATAACAGGTGTCTCTTCAAAGAATCCTTTGCGTTTCCCTCTTCTTTTGCCATCTAACCTCCCTCTGCCAGGCTGGCCAGAGGAGAAGAAGCCTGGAGCCCCATGGTCCCATTTAGGGCTCTGCAGAGCTGCGGTGGCGGATGGTGCAGAGCTCTGCCTTTGCACCGCAGCCTTGCCTTCAGCCTCGCTCGGGCCCTGTTGAGCATCTCCCCATCCTTAATGCATTTTTCCTTGAGCACCTGCTTCTTTTGGAAGTTAGTTATTTAAAAGGGAAATTTAAGCGACTGGCTGAGGGTGCAGAGAAGAGTGGAACTGGCTGAAGGGCTGAGGTTAGCGCTTTCTCCTTGATCTGGTCTTCTCACCTTTAAGTTATTTGTATGCATAGTTGGCTTCCCGCGCTGATTGGCACCGAACGAGTCGGGATAATGTCACGGTTGCCCACGAAGCCGTGCCAGCATGAGAGCACAGTCTTGCCAAAACAAGGGCATTGATTAGTGCAGAGGAACTAGGGCAATCCAATTATAACCACAAATGCCATTGGCTTTCTCAAATTCTTACTCAAATAACTGCGGGCTCTCTGCTGTATTAAGGTGGTCTGGACTATATCGAGAAAGGGGAATTCACAGGACTTAGGTAGGGCAGAGTAAACAGGATTTAATGCTTAAATACTCTATTGCCTATTTACACATAGGCAAAAGGATAGTATGTTTCAGGTAGGTAGAAGCTGGCCGACCCCCTTAGAGAATATATTTTATATTTCTTTTTTTGGAAATTATTACAAAATATCCTAAAAGGAAACCACACAGGAAAAATAGCTAAGAAGTTTCCTATCATTTCAATCTTGTTTGAGCATTGAATATTCCTTTGTTCCCTAATATTATGCTTCCTCTAACCTACTCAGTGGGCCAGATAAGGAAATGTGATATTTTTCACCACCGTGACGAAATTAAACTAAAGCTACAAAGAGCGTGAGGGTTGTAGCCTGGAGTCTTAGATGAGTAGTTCAGATCTGGCTTTATATTAAATGCAGAAGCGAACAGTCTCTCATGGATAAATCGCATTCAATTAGCTACTTCCTATGATGAACTGATTAAAAATTAAGTGGCATCAAATAAGACTGATTTTGCTCATACATTTAAATAATGCTATAATTACATACTAATCAGATGGTAAATCTTAATTGTACATGTTCCATATGTTTTATTTGCCTGTTCTCCCTCTTCACTTTGTCGTCTTTGTATCAGCATGGAGTATATTTTCAGGCTGCTTTTATGTTTGGCCTAATTGAATATCAAAAGCAGTATATGTGAAACTTCCTGAATTCTATTCTTCAGCCAGTGGCAGCTGTGCTATTAGATGACCTTTACCATTCCCGTAGCACAGAATAATAAAGGGAGGGGGGGAATTGAAGCCCAGCCATGTTATTGTTAGAGACAGAAATAAATCATATATAATTGCTTCGCCATGAAGGCCAAATCCTGCCGTCCTTCATGCCCGAGTTAGAAATACAGGATTTGGACCTTTGTTTCCTGTGGTTTCCTGGCCACCTTGGACGTGCCCAGAATCCTCACGCTGCCGCTGCGGTGGCTAATTACCATCACCGGGGCTCACGTCATGTTAAAATGAACTGCAGCCCAGGCTCCGTCCCTCTTGCGCGGGCAAGGAGATGGCTCTGCTGCAGGAAAGCCTTTACGTGAATGCCTGCCTTTAAGTGCCATTGGCTTCAGTAAGATTACTTGAAAAATTAAGAAAAGCCTTAAGTGTTGGATTACATGGTGGGCTTCCACAGAGTGTTTCTGTTTTGGTTAGCTGTTTGGAACAAGCCTGCTAACTCTTCATCGAAGTAAATAAGTATTTTGACATAACATGCATGTGGTATTAACTTTATTCGCTCCAGAATGTACTTTATGTTTTTGTCTGCTTTTTAATCATAGATCATGAACACAGTCACAAAAAGAACAAGCGGAAACACTGGAGAAGACAGTGGGCAGAAAGCAGCATATTATCTGACATGGAGATGTTGAAACACAGCCTGGAAGTGAATTCGTTTTCTGCGGATAGCAACAAGACTGGGAACGTCAGTGAAAAGAAGAGCCACAAACGAACAAAACGGTTTCTCTCCTACCCTCGCTTTGTGGAAGTGATGGTGGTGGCTGACAGCAGGATGGTCGCCTACCATGGAGCTAATCTACAGCACTATGTCTTAACGTTAATGTCAATAGTGAGTATTCAACTAGGGGGAGTAGATTCACCCACGGATCATTTTCTAGTGGTCACAGAGCACCCTTTCTGCTGCGTTTATATGCAATACCGTCAGTTTGCCTCAACCAGGCACGGAGATAATGCTGGGATTAGAGTAAAGCTTGGTAAAACTTGGCTGGGGAGCACTGGTTGGAGTCTTCTTCCTTCCCAGACCCATCATGTTTCCTAACCCTTCCCACACCTCTCCCTTCCAGCTTTCTGAACCCCAGGCAGCACAAGAAATATCACTGGCCCTCTAGTCCACACGCTGTACTCTTTTTATTTAAGCCCATGTGAAATAGTAGCTGAATTAAAAAGGTACTTCGAGGACTGTGCCTTCCAAGGGACTGATGCTGGTAGGTTATGCAGTTGCCTGACTTCCCTTGCTGTTGCAAGGAGAAGGAGCCTGTGGTCACCTTGATTCTTAGCATAGTGCTAGGGTTGGCTTTCCAGGCTGAGGACAAGCATTTCAGTAGCTGCTGGTACTAGGATGCAGTAGTGCAGTCCCCAGACAGGCAGCTCTGTAGATGCAAAGTGACTGGAAGTGAGTATCCAGCATAGTTGTGTCACTGGAGGAATTTTGATCCTGTTCGAGGGTAGAAGTGCAGTGAATATGTGGTATAAAACTGTCCATGTCAAAATGAGGCACTGGAGAGAATAAGTTGCTTTTGACAGTCTTGGTTGGTGGTCATTGTATCTCAGAGCAGAATGATCCTGTAATTTGGTGAAATGTGTGCTAAAGCAAAAGGAAATGTTGGGTTTCTGCGATACCAGCAGGTTTGTTTCATTCTAAAATTGTGCTCCTGGCAGGACATCTCTCCAAGTAGCGTCAGAGCGCTAAGTGGGGCAGAAGAGCAGCTCGGGAGAAAAACAGTTGCAAAATGGAAAACATGTGTGTGTTGTCTTAATTGTTTGTTTCCTTGAATGTTAGCAATAATTCTGAATATTTCTTTTTGAAACAGGTGGCTTCTATCTACAAAGACCCAAGCATTGGAAATTTAATTAATATTGTTATTGTGAAATTGGTCGTGGTACATAATGAACAGGTAATGGAAGTGATTTTCTTCACCTTCTGTTTGACAGTGGCATTTGTAGTGAGCATTGCGATGAATAGAATACCTGCTTTCTGTGTGTTGCTTATTAGGATGGTCCTGCAATATCTTACAATGCCCAGACAACGTTAAAAAACTTTTGCCAATGGCAGCAGTCACAGAACCACCCTGAAGGAAGTCACCTTCAGCACGATACAGCTGTGCTTGTTACCAGGTATGGTGAATATTCTCACGAAAACTGTAGCTACTCGTGTGTCAGAGGCTGTGAGCATGTAATATATCCAGCTATGGGAAATGTTCGGGTTTTGATGTGGGTGTAATGACATTTGCGATTGTAGGAGAGTGTAACTGTGAGCAGAATTGGGATAATGTGTCCACCATAGCAGTAGATGACTTTGAGAGGTTCAGGACTGTGCAAGGTCTGCCCATGGGTTCAACATAAGATGAAAAACTGACTATGGTAGGGAGTCGGTTCAGACTCTGACTGGACGATGTGGCAAACCAGCATGAGAAGGTCCGTTGGAGGACCAAGAACTGCTTTTGGATGTTGTTGTTATTGTGCTTGTACCTTAACTCACTGCTGCACTGAAAATTAATGTGTCAGGTCTGTTCTGCTTTCAGACAGGATATTTGTAGAGCGCACGACAAATGTGATACTCTGGGTAAGGAAAACCTTTGCTTTGTCTTGCAGTAACTTTTTTTGTAGTGACAATGTTAGTTGCCTGTGCTGAACCATGGGCGACGTTTCTTTTTCTATTGTAAACCTCTTTGTTCTCTCCTAGGTCTGGCAGAGCTGGGCACAGTCTGTGACCCATACAGGAGCTGTTCAATTAGTGAAGATAACGGACTGAGCACTGCTTTCACAATAGCACATGAACTTGGCCATGTGTATGTTTTATGTAAATACATTTACATTTAAATAGCCCAAGATTTATGCTAGCTAGGGCTTGCCAGCCAGGCTAGGACTTGGTACCTGCTGAGCCTGATTATTTGAGAGGAGATAAATGTACTTGGGTAGAAGATGCACCACTGAGGAAGATTAAGCCGTGGTGTGACTCTGGGAGGTGGTGGGGTGCTCCAGAGCCTATCTGAGAATAGCAAAACCAGCAGACCCACATTTTGGGGAGGATGAGTGAAAGGGTACCCCAAGCAACACCTAAGCAAGGGAGGAGAGCTAACAAAATGTCCAATATTACTGCATCTTCTCACATCTATATGCGGATATCAGCAGGATCTGCCCCAGTGGCCATGATGTCCTGGCCAAGCCACTGGGACTAGCCGGGATTTTGGGAGGTGCTGGGTGCCCCGGGGACGACCAGGGTGAGGAGCACGGGCACGTCTCATCTGACCTTCGGGACCAAAGTCTCCTCCGAGAGCAGGTCCTCAGCCTGCCACAGCTCGTCCCACCGCCATGCGTGGTGCTACTGAAGGCAGCGCAGCAGCTGTGTGTGAAGGGAGGAATTTACCCAGGGCGTCTGGTGGGTGATCAGGATGTATAAGTGAGCCTGACCCAGCTCCTGAACTATTTCACAAGGGAAAATCTCATGCTGCTGGACATCCCCAGAAGAGATGCTGTCATTCAAGATGCACCTCCTCCAGTGGAAATGTCTTTAACTATTTTGCCTTTTTTTTGAGAGCGGTAGTGAGAAAAATCAAATCACATAGTCCTTTACCCCCCGGCTACAACTCTTGGGCAGCTGGTTCAGTCCCAAACCACCTCACGCCTGGTTTGCAGTGGACGTCCATGGGTGTGAGATGGATGAGTACTCAGGAACAGATCTCTCATTGTTTTAAACTCCCTTTCCCTTCACGGAGAGCTGGCTGAGACAGTCTATTTTTAACCACAGTAGTATTTGTTTAAATGAGATTTCCTGACAGAAAGTCCCCGAAGGTTTGGCGTTCCCCACACCTAACCTGTGGCTAATTCCTTCGCTAATGCTGCCCCAGAGCTGCCGGAGGGGTTAGCGGCGCTCCCGAGCAGGAAATGCCTCTTTGCTCTTTTGCAGGGCACACAGAGTGAAAAGGTGGTTCATTGGAGGTGATCTTAATGGGATGTAAACTCCCCAGCCTTCGAAAGCAGGATCACACCGGGTCATTTCCCCTTCTCCACTTCAAACAGCAAAGCGCTTTAAGCCGTTCTGTCTCCGTTAGCGTATTTGCCGCATTCTTCAATATGTCATGTGCTGCAAACTTCGCGTGGCTTTCTGCTGATACTGATGCTTGATGGCATTTTGTAAACCTACCACATAAAGTATAGGAGCCAAGTCTATCCCCGGTGCAACCCTATTTAGGCAACAGCATGAGGGATCAGCGTGGCCCAAGGTACTCAACTGCATTAGAAAACATTTTGCAGTCGACATAGGGTGCTGCCTATGTACACGAGGGACTTCAGGCAGCGGTGGTCGGTGGGCTCCAGTCGTTTGTGTCCTTCAGAAACTTACTCCCCCAGATCAACTCATGGCTCTTTGGCTCAATTCCAGAGAACTTGCCATTTTTACGAAGGTGGGGCCAAACTCCAGCCTGCCTGCAGGATCGCGACTGTCAGCTGAAAAGGAGACGGCAGCTGGAATTGCATCTTACTCCAGGCTCCCTCAAGGACTTGTCTGGCTAAATATATGCAGTCATGGTGTGGAGAGCTTACCGGGGTCCTGCGTAGCTTTTTGCAGACAAGTGCTAGGAACTCAATTTGAGCAATGCTTGTTGACACTTATGAATATGTGCGTATTAGTACTTTTATTCTGTAATATCTGTCAGTAGCATATCTAGGAAAAATTATTTGGTTTGCTTACATTTAGTTCTCACTGTTGCTCTTGCTATACTAAATACTTGACATTTGCCACTTAACTGACTGTACTTTTCGCTGCTGTTTTCTCTTAGATTTAACATGCCACACGATGACAATCATAAGTGCAAAGAAGATGGAGGTAAAAATCAACAGCATGTCATGGCACCAACGCTGAACTTCTATACCAATCCCTGGATGTGGTCAAAATGCAGTAGGAAATACATCACTGAATTTCTGGAGTAAGGCCTTGCATATGCATGTGTTAGGCTGTTTTGACGTGTGCATGCATCCCATGGGGTTCATCAGTTAATCTGAAATCCTAGTGTGCAGTGTTTGGAGGAAATCGGAGGGATTTGTGTGTGCACGCATCCTTTAATGCACCCCTGGCATCTGGTCCCTGCCAGTTCAGTCTCGTGATAAGCTGGCAAGGACCAGCCTCTCTATGGGGAAGAATAAGTCTTCCCCCATGGATATTGCTTTTAAGGAATGTGCGTTCTCCTCAAACCTGAAGAGTGAGTTTTCCAAGCCCTATGGCCCAGATACGGAGCTGTGTTTTAGGAGGCAGATTGCATCTGCCTTTCTGCTCCACAAGTCAAGATAAAGCCCTGGCACTAGTCCATGGTGGGAACACTGCTCCAGGAGCCCACGGGTCAGTTTGATGCACAGCTATCACCCATTTTGCCATGATGCCTTCCTACGTGTTGTGATGGGGAGCAGAATGACAGCCACGATGGTGTCCTGGCGAATCCAGGAGCTCGGTCCCTTGGGCGGTTCTTCTGCTAATCAATTATTTTCTTTCTAAATATATACCAGAGCATGCTCAGCAGCTAAATGCAGGTTGTGCATGGTCAGAAATGCTTTTTGCCAGGGTAGCTGACTGCACTGTGGTGGACGGTCATTAGCACAGCACGGGTATGGTGGTGAATGGGTAATGCAGCCTCCTATCCTCCTGTGCTTGAGTCTGCAGTAGCTGTTGTAGTGCTTGTTAAATATGGCAAATGTGGTGTGCATCTGCCCTAAGGCTGACTCAGGTAAACACCAATGGGTTCTAGTCTCATCGCCTCCTGTTTAACACCGGTTTTCTGCTTTGTGTTGTAGCACTGGTTATGGGGAGTGTTTGCTTGATGAACCTTCATCAAGAACTTACACGTTACCTCAGCAGCTCCCAGGACTGATTTATGACGTCAACAAACAATGTGAGTTAATTTTTGGACCTGGATCTCAAGTGTGCCCGTATATGGTAAGTGAAATTCCACACCTTGGTTTTCCTGGTGTTGCTAGGGCAAAATAAGGCCTCCTGGGGTTGGATGAATGGGAGGCTCAGAAGCCATCAAATTATTGTCAAGCTTGTGAGTTAATGATAAATCTTAGGGGGATAATTTCATAAAGGATCATCTGTCTGGTAAGGCATGTAGCACATATTTATTTAATATTTTGATCTTTCCAATAACTTAAGCAGATGCAGTGTCGGCGACTTTGGTGTATTAACATTGATGGCGCGCACAAGGGATGTCGTACCCAACACACACCTTGGGCTGATGGGACAGAGTGTGAGCCTGGAAAGGTCTGTAATACCTGGTGGTTCGTGCCTCGTAGCTATGTTTCCCAGGCCTCAGGCTAAGCATAACAGTCAAAATCATCCTATCCCAATGGCCAGCTGTATGGGGCACAGCTGCTGACTGCAAGGGTGGAAGCCCAAAGCAGCTCTGTGTGTTTTAAGCCTGGTATGCATGGGTCAACTCTACACCAGATAATGTGATTAAAATCAACTGCTTGGCATAGCGTTGTTTAAAGCAGGTATTCCTTCTGGAGTGCTTATCTTTTTAAATTAATGCCCTTGAGTGAACTCTTGAGCAAAACTTTTGCAAAGCTTCCCTAGGCTTTTATTAGAAATTTCCTATATGATGTGAGCAATTAGTAATTTTGTATAACATAAACTTGCCAACTGGCTTCTCATCTTGACAACTTCAGAATAAAATATAGAACTGGTTGACATTTTCTGTATGGAACAGTTTTGGCAGTAATTAATAGAAACTTTCAATTTCCACGTGCAATGTTAGTTTCCAGCTAGCATTGTGGTTCCTAGAATAAGTATTTAGTTTTCAGTTGTCCAGATCTGGAGAAAAATAGTTGAGAGGCTTTTTCTTTTTATTTTATTGAGAAACTGAAGCTTTTGAAGAAAAATGCTAACTAGTTTTCAGAATTTTTGTCTGAACAAAAATATTCTCCATCTAGGTCTAGTAAAAAAAGTGTGATGTTATTCTACAAGGTATAGCTTACAAATTTGCTTTTCTGTCTATTAATGATCAACAGTTAAAGAGTCAACATTTTAATTCATAGTCTTTCAAATGTTTTTTAATAAAAATATCTGGATGCTATTTTAGATATAATTTTCCATAAAGGCTTGGCAATTAATCTTTTGTTGCATGTATCTGAAAAGTCAATTGTTCAACAACACTTGACTGATTTCTTCAAGACAATGGGCATAATGTGTTAATTTGCCTTCCTTTCTTAGGGAAAAGCGCAGTCAACACGTTTGTTTTTATTGTTGAGAATGTGCATTAGGGACGTGGTTGGAAATCCTATTCCTGTGCTAGCCAGTGGTGCACCAATATTGAACATTTTTATGTAAAATCCCCCCTTTTTTGAGACTCAGGATAAAACTTAGGCATCTGTGGAGTCCCCTTGACTTGAGACCTTGTGTCTTCAACTTCTCCATTTGTGAGCTTGGGGTCTGCTCACCGCTGGAAGCTCAGAAACAACTATTTTCTTGAAATTCAAAAAATCTGGGTTGCAATTTTGTTCTGACAAACCTGTTACCCTTGGGTATGGCCAGAATGATGTGCAAACAACTGCAATTGAGCAGATTAGCACCTCCTCAGTTACCATGTCATCCAAGAGGCAGTGTCCAGCTGCATGGCTCTTAATAAAGACCGTGTAAGCAAAAACATTTCAGTCCACAAATTTAGACAATTTGACAGGTTTAGACAAACGAGACAAGTGTGACCTGAACTTCTCAGCTGAGAGCAGATGGGCTCTTAAAAACAGCTAATGCAGTCCACTCGTGTTCAGGCATTTGAATGTATTCTCACAAAAAGGCTTTACAGAGTAATTCTTGTATCTGTGTGTTGGTCTAATTCAAGCTTAAGGTTTGGATCATCATAAACTCTCTTCCCCTCAGTGTTTACTTGGGCTTGTGAAGTGCTGAGGTGCGAGTCTGGAGTGCTTTTCATTGGAATAAATCACTATTTTGGTACTCTGCTGTGGCCAGGAGCCCCATCAAACTGCTGCTTGCTGACTAACGCCTTGCCTCAAGTCTGCATGTTTAAAGCCCGTGATATATGGGTTGGCAGATGGAGAAAATACCATGCCATTTTTTATGGAGATATCTTTGGAATGAGAGAGCCGGAATAGCTAAGAAAAATCTAGCTAAAACTACTGGGATGTAGATTTAACCAGGCTCTAAATTTATTCTTAAATCAAGGACGCTAAAACAACATGGAAGTATTAGCTTATGCATATTTTGCATGCGAGGACACTGAATTTGGTATCGCTAAATCCAGTAATAAGCCCAGCCCGGAGTTTGGCCTTTGCTGGGTGAGCACCAGTCATGGTGGTTTACACTGTTTCACAGCACCAGTGCATTGTCGGGTGGAAATAAATCACTGAGAGAAAATAAAGAGGGTCATAAACTTGGGCCTCTCTCTCTTGTGGTTTTCAGAGTTGTTTAAAGAATGGTAAAAGAAGAGTAGATGAATAGTAATCATTTCTGTCTCCTGCCGTATGGCAGCAGGTAGCGTATATGTTATGCATGCATGAAGCTTCACAGCACTTGTCTGCCCCCTGCTAATCTATTCAGCTGAAGTCAGCCCAAGGATGGGAGCTGGATTTGGTGAATTATCTGGGACTCCAGTGGCAAGACAAAGGAAAGGAAAGTCTGTTGTAATGTCTCCCGTCCCTGCCGTTGCTCTCCTGCTCAACTGTGTGTCTTAAGTTATTTTGAACTTGCTCCAGACAAAAACTCTTTTATTCTCTTCATTCTCTGATCTGTAAGCTCATAGGAAAGAGAACCCTGGCAGGCTTTTTAGTTTTTCTGTTGTAACTCAACATAGAAATTATTTTTAAAATACAAAAGGCACGAAGGTTGCACAGCCAGACTATTCACAGTGTGCTTCCAAGAAACACCATTGCGTTTCCATAAGATAATCTTGCTGTTTATTTAAAACAGCTGCTCTATTTTTTTTTTTTCCCCCTTTAATTGGCCATCAACTCCAAACCCCCAATTTTTAATAAAATCAAGGATGTAGGTGATTTCCTGGTTAATTCTCAACCATCGGATGGGAGACATATAGGTCATGTCACGGTCTGTTAGCTGTGTACATTCACTAGTTAGCTATTCAGTCGTCTTCTCTGGGTCAGTGGTGCCAAGCATGACTGTGGTTATACATTTAGCTATGAGCATCAACATTGCTGCGAGAAGTTCTCCACTGGGACAGCACTGTTGGATTGGTGTCATGTATTTTTGTATGTTAATGATAGCTGTCGGACATCTTTGTCCCTGCACAGGACTGGCATGGGGTCCCCATCCTGCAGTTTTTCAACCCTCTAAATGCCAGGAGGAGTTGTGCATCGTAAGGGTTTGTCTTGCAGCAAAGAAACAGACGTTTCAGTTTATTTTATTCCTCTCCTTTACCGTAGCAGATATTTTTCAGCCAGTTTCCATCTGGGGAATCAAATCTTCAGATGAAAGCAAATCCAGGGCACATTGCAGCCTAGACACCATGATCATCCCTGAGCAAACACCACATTTAGGGCCCAAGCTACAAGTTGTTCAGCCATCCTGCAAACATGCCCATAGGCAAATGCACCCGAGATCAGCTTTCGTCATCAGCAAAGCAACGTGGCAAGCTGGCCATTGTGGGCAAAAGGTGTTAAATGTGCTGCGGAGCCAGTGTCCTATGAGCTGGATGCACAACCCCCATGATAGTTTGATTTTGCTCTGTTTTCCTAGATGGCTTTCTCTAAGGTGATTCATAAGGATGTCTAAAAAGCTGGGGGGGAGCTTATGGTGTGTCTTGATACAACCTTGTTCTGGTATTAGCGAAAGGGCTGGAAAAACACAGCACATCAGTAAATTTGACCCTGTTGCCATAAAGATCGTCAGGCGTTTCCCTGCCTGAACAGCATCTGGTGCAGAGAAATATTGCAAGGGAATATTTTAATGATGCACTACATGTTTTCTTCTTTAAGTCTGTAACCTCTTCTAATCTGTGAGCAATTAGCAATGTTTGGGCTTCCTATAATTGCGAAGATTTAGGTGTCCGCCAGCAGATGAGCATGTCTCTGGGTTTAAATCTGCTTTAGCAAGCACTGTTCAGTGAGAGGGAAGCCCTGCTCTCACGGGTCTTGGGGACACTTTTCCATCCATTCTGGTGGGGCCAGAAGGTGACTCTCCCCTAGATCTCACCTCTCCAGAAGTCTGGGCAGTTGAACTAGCAAACGTAGCCCAAAGGGACACATTTTATACCACAAAAATGGGAGACAGGGACTTGCCAAGATAATTTAAGCCAGTTTTCCAAACAAAAGAAAACAAGAGTTATAGCTGGAAAACAAAAGTGTAGGCCAGGCCTTGGCAAGTCACATGTTATGGCTGAGTGGAAAAAAAATACTTTGGATTGAGGAATTCATTTTTCTGTTTTATTTGCCCTTTGGATTTGGAAGTTTCCTTTCCCGCTTTCTACAGCTGTGGGGAGGTTTGAGTTTTCCCTGGTGTTTTCCCCATTGCCTGTCTCCTTCCCTGACACGGTGGTGCGGTTCCTGCTGCTCTCCAGGAAATCAGATAAGCAGCTTTTTGAAAAGCCAGTGCTGCGAGCGTTGCCATGCTGTTCAGCACCAGTGAACAGGGAATATTCAGTGCTTGCTGTTGTCCTCAGTCTTCTTCCCATAAATCACTCCTGTGGACTCAGCACCTTGCCTTCGCTTCTCCATTTAAGGGTGCAGAGAAAGAAAAATATGGGAGTGACAGACAAAAAGTAAAGAAGTTCAATTTTATTTGATTGCAAAATCTTTGCTGCATTTTACATGTGCTTGAGAAATAAGTAAGCCTGGGTCTTGTCGTCCAGGCTGGTCACTGTTGGTTGGCTCGTAATGCAAAAGCAATGCAAACCCACTTTTCCCGTCTCTCTCCTTTGCATGCAGCACTGCCGGTTTGGGATGTGCGTGCCCAAAGAGCGAGAGGCGCCGGTGATAGATGGAGCGTGGGGGACGTGGAGCCCTTTCGGGACCTGCTCGAGAACCTGCGGCGGTGGCATAAAGACAGCGATACGAGAGTGCAACAGGCCCGAGTAAGTGCACGGAGGGGAAGCACCGGTGGGTGAAATGGGGAAAAGCAGCGGGGTTGCCCAAATGGGCTGAAATCCCCTTCAGCTGTCCCCAGCCCGTGTGCGCCCCAGGGACGGGTGGCTTTGCCGGGCACTGATGAGGCAGCATGGGAACCCAGAAGGAGCTGGTCACAGGTTTGGTTTGTGGGTAAAGTGCACTAAAAAGGGATCCATTCAACGGAGAGAGAAGGAAAAAGCTAATATCTGTGTGGATTTATTGCCTCCTGTTTTCCTGGGGAGGCACAGCTGGGGTCCCACTTCCAAAGGTGTTTGTCTTCCTCTAAAGTCGTGGATCAGAAAGGAGGGAGAAGGGAAGGAGCCATGGTTTGATCCATTTTTCACCATTTTACCCCTGCTTTGGCTGCTTTTGCAGCTGTTCCTACAGGCCAGATCCTTTATATAGTTTTCTACCATTTTACTCCTGCTTTGGCTGGTTTTGCAGCTTTTGGCTGCTTGTGCAGCTGATCCTTTATACGGTTACATGTCAGCTGGTGCAGACTAGCCAAACCTCAGCAGAAATCTGTGCCCCATTAAAAAGCGGCACTCAAAAATGTTTGCCGTCAGCCTGGAATGCAAAATCCTGCACCCTTTGAAATGGCAGGGAATTTTGCCGTGGGCTTTAAGGAGATGAATGTGTGGCTGGCGAAATATTAGTAATAGGTTGAACAACTGGTATGAAAACAGCCCGTTTACATAAATTGCGAACTGTGCTGGTTTCTGTTTAACTGCCTCCTTTCAGCCCACGAGAGCAAGAAGTGGTGGGCAGGATGCTTTCCAGGCTCTCATTTGGGACTGAAACACGGAGAGGAGAGGGGTCTGCGGAGCTGGTTGGACCAAGGGGTCTTAAAAAGATTGAGCAGGCTCGTTCCACTTTCTCGTCATGGGTTTTGGACGGCTTATTGCCGAGGAAATTGCCATTAGTGATGCACCAGTGACAGTTTCATCACTGCTAATGGGAGAAGGGAGAGCTTGTACCTGCGGCACTGCTGGTGAAGTGACAGGAGAGGCTGGCTCAGCATGGCTGGGCAAGTGTCGAAAGAGAAGGGTTGAGGCTAAGGGAGTCGGACACCAGCACGCTAATTAAAATGATGCTGAGAAACACACAAGCACAAAGGAGTTCTCGTCTCGCTGTGCTGAGTCAGCACACGCCATATGGTCTTCCAGTAGCCATGGAGACACAAAAATAAAATATCTTTCCACGCACAAAAATAGCTATGCTGCCGAACCTTTGGATGCTGTCAGTGAGATGTATTCCCATCTTCTGGAGAGAAATCTGCTTGGACTGGTAGCTTTTTGTGATAGAAAATCTACTTTATCCTAAAGGCTAGCCAGGGGATTTTAAATTCCATCTTCTCTTACAGCTTGTGTTTTGTATCTTGGTGTTTTGTGAGGCATATTACTTTGGCTGGGATTTGTAAAAGCACCTAAATACGCTAGGCACCAAGTGTGTGTGAAATCCCCTGCGCTTATTAATAGTGGTTATTTTCCAGGCCCCCTTTCGGGAGCCATGTAGCTGGCACTGGCCCCTTCTCCAACCCCTCACGAAGTCTCCACAGGGAGTCGTCTGTCCTAGCACTGTCCACAGAGCTTTACGCAGACTCTGTTTTGTCCCCGTAATTTGATGTCGTAGCGTGGGCTGCCACCATCTGCATCCTTGTTATCGTGGGACTGCTGAGACGATGCAAGTGGGTGAGACGCTGCTGGGTACTCTCCTGCCTCTCCCACTTTTCAAAGTACTTCAAAAATATACAGAATAGGTCTAGTCTCTGTTTCTTCTCTGTTGTGGAAGGCAGGAAAACCAACCCAGGTACCTTGAGTAAGGTCGAAATACTTTTCAGTAAGTCTTTTATATTCAAAGATGGTTTAGTTTTTTACAGCTTTTTCTGTGCAGGAGGATCTGGGGTGGTATCTTGCGTGCCAATAAAATATTGTGTCAAATCTGGCATTGAAAATGAACCTCCTGCCATGGTACAGAAAATAAGGCTGCAGCTCCTGCCTCTGTTTGTAATGTGCTCTGACACCCACGTGGACAAGTATCTTGCAGGGCTGTAGGAAGAGCTGTAAGCCGCTGAAATGGCAACAGACTGTGTTTTGACATACGCTGAAAGAATGTATTAGCTAACCAGACCAGACCCTTCCCACCAAGATTGCCCACTTGGGAATTCGAGGCTGGCTGGTACAGACAAAGCCCACGGCTGCGGTGCGTCACATAGAGGGTCTGTGGTGCAAGGCCTGGTTTTCAAAGCAAGGCATAGCTGCAGAATTATGGGGAAAAGGCATACTTCGTAAGATGTTAATACCAGGAGCCCTGCTTTCAGGAATGGCTTTCTGGATGGGGGAGTGTTATCTCTGGATGCAAGTCTGATCACGTCTGCATTTTAGTCCATCACAAAAGTATCCACCTGTGCTGAAAGCTGTCTGAACTTGGCATGTAAACACATCTGTAGGTAACTGTGCTGGCAACTGGCAGCACATGTACCAATTCCCGGTCTCAGGGCTTCCCTGGATGCTGCGAAGGAGATCTCAAACTGAGCCCTGTGTACACTAGGGCTTCACAGATTTTTCTGCAGTCACTGCATGAGCACAGGCACATAGGCAGGCGTGCAGATGAACACACATGCCCCATAGTTGGTCTCCAGGGTCCTTTTGTTGTGGCAGCCTGAGTGCCTCCGGGCAGAGCTGCTGCCCTTGGGGCTGAGCACATGCAAAGCACCCCCAGAACTGCGCTTCTCAGCGAGGTGCTTCTACCTGGCGCTCCCGGGGCACCGAGAGTTGGGTGCTGCCTCGGGGTCTGCACGTGAAAATATTCAAGGTTAGTAGTTGCAGGTGATGCATTAAGCATTGCATATTTAAGACGTGCTGGGAGGAATGGAGCGGAGCCGGGGTTTGCACAGGAGCTTGTAAGGGGAACAATGCTAGATAGAAAGCAGGTCCACACCGGCCATTTGTTGATCAAATAGGTGATTCGGAAAGAAGGGAAATCAAGAGAGGACAAGGAGGTTTCTATGCATGCACTGCTTTCCCTTCCGTCTCTGCGGTACATCATTGATGATTATCCGTAAAAATATTACATAGTGTGAAGTATCCTGTATTTCTTCATGACACTGAAAATCAATGTTATATGAGGCTGACTTATTTTTCAGGGTCAGCTTTTTCTGTTTACTCAGACTCTGTGAAAAGCAATGTTGGTTTAAAAACACCCTACAACTGTCAGGGTGGTTTGGGGCTGTTTTGAAATGTCAGAAGTGTGAGTGTGCTTCAGCCCCGAACGCTGGCTGCGGGGAGATTTACTGCCACAGTTACAAAGCTGACAGTTAGCAACACGATGGCAAGTTTTAGCAGCCTTCAGTTTGTGGTGTGTCCATGTGTTCAATGTTATCTCAATCTCATGGGTCATGTCCAGAGAAAAGGAAAGTATACAGTAGCCTTGGGATCTTTGGATTTTGTTAGACATACTCTGAAAGAAAGAAAGGCTCCTGCATGTTCTTCTTAACTAGTTTAATATTTAAAAGTCTTATTTTAATTAAATTGATTTATATTGGAAGCAATGTGTTTACCATTAAAATGTTTTAATTGCAATGTTTTTAAAGAAATGCCCTGCTAGAGGTTTGCATATTTTAGAGCCTTTGTCAAACTACAACAGTCCTGCTGCAGTATAAATGCTTTCAAAGTGAAAATGATTAATCCTGTTAACTCCTCCCCCATGAATGATTCGGGCTCACCGAGATCTGGAGTGTGCTGCTGCCACAGCTAAGAAGTTTGCCCATGTCCTGTGTAGTGAGGTGGTCGAGAGGTCCCTTTGCAGCTGGACGTAGATAATGTACTTGCATGGGAATAGTCCGCAGGATGGGCTCCGGCGGTGGGAAACCCCCAGCAATCACCACTGAGCCTGTGAGGAGTCCGGCATGCATCCACAGGGGCTGCTGCGCTGGGTTAGCTCTGGAGCGGTCCCAAGTGTAATCGGTTAAATTAATCCAAGTTGTTTGTCATACCAAGGTAGAGAATAGACTAAATCGGTACAAACAGGGTTTAGACTTGCTCCACTAGGAACTGGTGTGAAATCAGTCTGTAAACTGAAATCCATACCGGGCGCTGTGTGGTTGCTTAGGCTTTTTATAGCACTGTTACTTGCCTAATTGCAAGTACCAGAAACCTTTGCAAGTGACACATGTTTAGTTTCCAGATGGCACGTGAGAGTCGCCCTTGGAGCAGGTAGGGCTGATGTTACCAGCTATGGCTCCGGGCTGTGCCTAAAGACAAATCATACCCCTCGGGATTTAGGATAGGACTCGAGGGGTCTGCACCACGGCAGTGTGTCTCTCAGCGAGGAGATGATGCTGGTAGGAAAAATCCCACGTGTGTAGCTGGTGGTGCTCTGCATCTCGCCTGCGGCTGCTGGAGGAGGCAACTCCTTCTGCCAAGCCTGTGAGCAGCCCTAGCGTGGTGGTGATAGGGTGGTGGGAAGTCTGCCTGCCCTTCCCGGCTTTGCAGGTAGTCTTTTGGCAAGTGCGAGCCCCTCTGTGTGCCTCTGCCTCCCCATTTATTTCGCAGGAACTCTGCTACTTGAGTCACAAATAGTTTTCAAACATAAGAGTGAAGAATTGTTATTTGTGGGAGAAAAGGCACTGCTGGGCTTCCTAGGTGGTTGATGTGCAGGGATGCTAAAAAAAGTGTGTTCAGCTGCAGGAACTTGTTGACTCACTGTGTGTAGAGACCCCTGTACATGCGCAGGGGGTTTCTGTCTCTATTTTGCTAGGAGGCGCTGGCTGCATGCAATGTGGAGAGCTTACAGTGAGCATCTCCGTGCTAAGGGCAGGGGTGGTTCCCGTTTATCGCTCGTTGGTTCGTGTTTTGGAGGGTCTCCAAGTGTGCCGACTGGCTTCCTTCCCAAGGAGGCTCAAAGGGATGCTGCACTCTGCCAGCATCCCTGGGGCACCGATGGGCATCGGGTCCCGGGGCAGGGCAGAGCCGATCCTGAAGAAAAGCCCTGTAGGCAGGAGGTCTGGGTGCCAGGACTTCAGCGCCCGGCGAGTCGCTTTTCTGATCTGCGCTTCTTGCTAGTGCAGGCACTTGTTTTGTCCAGGGGTTGGGTAGAAGATGTAGGTTTAGTGGTTATTTTGCAGCAGAGGCTGGAGCTGGGCTGTTGTCCTGAGCTTCGAGGGCCACTCTCTGCCTCTGTACATGTGCCCTGGCATAATGCAGTCGGGACACGGTGGCTCTGGCTGCTCAGGATACTCTTGCCCTCCGCTGACTCCTCTGAAACGGTCTGTTAAAGGGAGAGGCTGGGGCTAACCTCAGCCGGTGGAGGCTGTCCCATGCTGATGGCTGAGATGCACGTTAACTTCATCTCCCTTGAGTGCAGGTCTTAGTTGGTATAATTTTTTCTTTTTGGATAATTACAGCTTTGCCCAAGTTGACCCTGGCAACATTTCATCCAGGTTGCCATATCTTTCCTTCTGTAACATCAGGGAAAAGCAAAGCTGCTTGGGTGGAACTGCAGTTTTTATTATGCATATTAATGGTGGTAGCTTGTAGAAGCTTCCACCATGCCCTCTCAATTTCATTTGAAGTTTCAGGAGAGAGCAGCAGAGACGGTGGGGTTTTTTTGGAACGTTTAAAGCATGGTGCGTGCTTTTTTATTTTATTATTACAATTTATTAAATACGTAGAAGGCTGCACATAGATGGGCACATGAAACCTTACCCGAGTTCCTAGAAGAAATGTCCTTTGAACAGACAGTAAATAGGAGAGCTTGTATCCCAAGGGTACTTTCCTTGCAGCATTACCATAGCTGAAACTGAGTCCTCACTGAGCTGAAAAAGTGCCTTCTGCTGGGCTCCTCCGATGCCATCCACATGCAGCTCACTCCCGCACCACTCCTGACAGCAGCTGGAGTGGGAGAGGCTTTTTTGGTCCCTGAAGTGAGTTGTTATCTGGCAAAGGCTCCATCTACATACGAGGACAAAAGTAGTTTTGTGACTACAGCCCTGAATCTGGGAGTCGGGAAATTCAAAATGACAATTTCTCCTAGACTTATCCGCTGGCTTTTATGTGGCTTGGATGATATCACTCTCCCCAGTTTATACCAGAGTCATCCTACTATAAAATGGGGGTAAAGTATTTATTGGCCGTCCTTGGTGCTTTCTGTAATACATGGAGATAAAATTGTTTAAATATGTCTAGCATTACCATTTCTACCATTTTGGGCTAGAAATCCTGAAGGACTAAGTGCTGCCTGGCCTTTCGGCCTCTGCAGGGAAGGCCCTTTCTCCTTTCTGCTGTGATGGTTAGTTATTGGTAACCCACTAGATCAGATGCAAACTCTCCACCACCAAATCCATAGGACCGATGGGGTTGTGGAGGCATGGTCCCGCCGTATGGGATCCCTCAGTGTGAAACTAAATCCTCAGAAGGGTAGGAAGATGTTGCTCTTCCTCTCTAGCTTCCCTTACTACCGCTGCATTCATCAGAGAGCAAATATTCCCTTTTTCATCCCTTTTTAGCATCGCATATATGGTCTTTTTTTATTAGACACCTGCATAATCTTTCCTGCTTGTCAGCCTGGGATATTAATTAAAGACATGCATAGACGTAGACAAAGCCGTCAAAACGGTGTTGCAAATACCGACTGTGCTGAACAGGTTGCAGAACTGCAATTGCATTTCGTTTCTAGCCCTATCCCAGCCAGCTTCACTTTCTTGTTTCTGCAGGCCTAAAAATGGTGGGAAATACTGCGTGGGTCGTCGCATGAAGTTTAAATCCTGCAACACCGAACCGTGCTCAAAGCTGAAGAAGGATTTCCGGGACGAGCAGTGCGCCGACTTCGATGGGAAGCACTTTAACATCAACGGGCTGCCCACGAACGTGCGCTGGGTGCCCAAATACAGCGGCAGTAAGTGGCAGGGGGGATGCAGATCCTGCCTCCTGCATCACCGCATCGGGGTGATGGCATTCGGATAACGTGCTTCTGGTTTTCCTCCCTCCCATCCCCAGTCCTGATGAAGGATCGGTGCAAGTTGTTCTGCCGAGTGGCGGGAAACACAGCGTATTACCAGCTGCGGGATCGCGTCATCGACGGGACGCCCTGCGGCCCCGACACAAATGACATCTGCGTGCAGGGCCTTTGCCGGGTAAGTATTTTCCCTTCTCTTCAGCGAGGGTGATTGCAGTTTTGCGTGGCAGGATGGCGCTTCTGCACCCTGCTCCACCCGGTTGCTGGCGTGCCCTCTTCGCTCGGGGGCTGCCGGCAGCATCCGCAGGCTCCACGAGCCCCGGCTGGCCTGAAGCTTGTGCCAACCTCCAGATCTGCAGAAGAGCCACGCGTGGAGGATGTCTGTACGTCTGCCCTGAGTTACTGAGGGCTGTGGAGGTCTGAGCCTGAATCCAAATGATGCTTCCGTCTGTGCTCTGTCCTGGTTCTTCCCGGTCAGACCCCGGAGCACTTTACATTTCCATTCACAATTATTTTTCACACTTTTCTCTATGGGAACAACCAATGCAAGAAGTTTTCTCTAGCGAAGGCATCGCCTGGTGCAAATGGCAGTTCTGATCCTCACTTTGTAAAAAAATGTTTTGTTTGAAAATGGGGTGGGACGGCCGCACTGTAAATCAACAGAAAAATGTGGGGAAGCAAAACAGTTTGTCTCACAGCAGCCTTTTGCATAGCAAGCTTTTGTGTACCTTAATTGGGAGGTTTGTAAATGCCGTTCTAGTCCGCATTTGCTCAATCTAGTTTTTTCAATTTTTCTCTTAAAGCAAGCTGGATGCGATCATGTGCTGAATTCAAAAGCAAGAAGAGATAAATGTGGTGTTTGTGGTGGGGATAATTCTTCATGCAAAACTGTTGCAGGCACATTTAACACGGTGCATTATGGTAAGAATCTGTTGCTAAAAACTTTATAGTGAAAAAATGCGGGTCTATAAAAGCCATTACCGCACTTAATCTACAAGAGCACTGATATAAAATGCAAAATCCTTCTAGCTATAGCATATTCCATTTTATAACTATTTATGCTATCCCTAAATGAAAAGTATCAGCTTGTGTAATGTGAGGTAATTTTGCTCGTTTCCCTTCCCCCCATAAAAAGCAAATGAAATGTCTGTGTAATAGCCTTGACTTTCTGTTAAATCTTTTCTAGGCTATAACGTTGTGGTCCGCATCCCAGCTGGTGCAACTAATATTGATGTGCGTCAGCACAGTTACTCAGGGAAACCAGAGGATGACAACTACCTGGGTGAGTTGCAGTCCTTGTTTCTGTCCAGAAATCTGCTTTATTGTCTGGTTGTGCTGATATATCTACTGGCTGCTCTCTGCTAGGGAGGATGAAGAATTCATTTAAGGGAGATGTTTTCTTATTGAGAATTTATCTCATATGTCTACCAAACATTCAGCCTTATCTTGTTCCTTCTTTTTGTTCATGCCATCCTTGATGCAAAGGTTGGGAGGTTCACAGATTATAAGAAATATCCCCCTAGAGTGTCTCTGGGGCTGGGAAGGACTATCGTGCCTGGGCTGTGGGTGGGAGCTGAGGCACAAAGCTGGGAACCAAACACACTTCTGAGTTCTGCTGGAGTCTCCTCACCGCAACTTAACGCATCTCTGCTGTCACTGTGCCTCGGCTGGAGAGTAAATATGCCATACCCTGAAAGACGTGTACAAGCAAATCCAAAGAGAAATTATTTTCTGTTTCTCTGAGAATAATAATTCTGATTTCACTTAGACTGAGCCCTTCTTGTCCCTGCCTGACAGTCATATGTAACTGTAAAGAAATACCCTGCACCAAAGATGTTGGTTTGATTTAAACCTAACAATAACTTGGCCTTTGGCTGTTGGACATTCATAATCACTGTTTTCTCTAATCCGTGGGTATGTCTCTAGAGGCAGATGAAAATGCTTGTGGTGCTGTGTTAGACCAGTCTGCTGCATGAACATATGCTTTTAGCATGGCCACGTGTCACTTTTCCACCATGCTGATCAGTCATTCACCCCGTAGAGAGTTCTGTTCGGGTTCAATAGTGGAGATAACACAAACGCCCATTACCACTGATGTTACACCTGCCAGTCAAAGGCTGGTTTTGCCATTAAGTCCTGTTTGGGTCCCTCAGAGTCTGTTTGGGCCGCTGATGGAGCAGGGACTCAGGCTGTGGCCCCTTGCAGTCCCAGGGAGATGGCTGCTCTCCCAGCTCTGTTCCTCCTCTTTTGCACGTCCCGTGCCTGGCACTGCCAGCTGCGCTCCGGTAGCGCGGGGTCCCGTATTTACATCCCTGAGCAGGGCACTTCATCTCGTTTCATCTCGCAAAACCCCTGAGTTGTTGAGTGTTTTTGCAAAATATGGGGCTTAGCCTAAATGCTCGCTGTAACTGGGTATGTGAAAAACGGGACTAGGCTGGCGGTTCCTAGCCCATTGAAGGTACAGGAACTCACTAGAGAAACAAGTGGAGGAGACTACCGTGCACCAAAGGGAAACGGTGCCGACAGCCTTGGCTGTCGCTCTGACATGCCATCCATATGGCAGGACCTTTCATTCAGGCAACAAGCTGAGCGGGTCCTCTCTGTCCTCGTTCCCAGACTGGGGTCGTGCAAGGCTGGCTGTCCCTGCACGCAGGCGGCCGTTCACTTACAGCCGCCTTGCATTGTTTCTGCACGTTCACAGCGATGACGTGAGATGGTGCGGCATGAATGCACATCAATACCAAGAAAACCTTACTGAGGTGTGATAGTTTTCCATCCTGGGGGAGGGAGATATGTTTCATTATTCATCTTTTCTAGAAAAACAATCCTCCCTGTGTTGTGCCTATTCAAACTGGTTCACCCCGGAAGGAGCCCCAAAGAACTTCTCAGCTCTTCTTGGAGGGCCTTTAATCTTCTTGGGAAGCAATGAAGTCAAATCTTCTTTAATGTTGCTTTAATATTGCTGGGAAAGCATCTCTTCACATTAGGCCTGACTAGAAGCAAATGAGAAGTGTGCATGTGTCCACTTATTTTGCAGCTCACTAAGTGTGAAATCTTGGGCCCTCAACCCTGTAGTTGCTTAACAATTTAGGAGGAATTTGATGTTGTCATCAAGTCCAAGACGTGTACCTGCTGTTGTAGGAGATACAGTAAATGGGAAGGAATCCTTTAATAATGAGTTTTACTACTGCCTAATGACATTAAAGCCTCCGAAGTGTGTGGAATTCGGTTGAGCGTAGCGTCTGCTTTCTGAGTTTTTCTCCATCTATGACTGTTTGCTACCGAGCAGTGTTTTGCTTCATTATCTTTCCTCATTTGGTGTAAAAACCTACCCTTTGGTGTTTTGGTGTTAAGTTTGGATTTTTCAGTACAGAGGCTTTGTAGTAACATAGCTGTGATGGGTGAAATGGTGGGGAAACTAACTTAGGAAATTAGCTACATAATCGCATTAGTGTGAAGTTGTGCAGCAGACTGCTGTTTTCAGGAAACTGTTCCTTTTATAAAGCATTTAGGCTTTAAGCCTTCAGTGCTTTCACATACCTTAAGATTTGGAATAATAAAAAGTACGGGGGGAGGAGGGAGAGGGAGAGAGAGGGGGAGATACTGACCAAACTCCCTGTAATTATCTACTAGAAAATGACATTTGGGCAATTAGGGTACGTGCATTTACCCTCAGAACACACCTGGAAACAATGGGGAAGCCACCCTATCTGCATGGCTAACAAAAAGATTTGGGCAGGGTTATTTCTGCAGTACGCGAGGGGATACAGACTGTGTGTTCTGCGTACAGCAGCCGGCCCAGCATGCCTTTTGGGTATGTCTCTGCCCTGGGTTATGGGTGAACTATTTAGCAACAACTTCAGGCATTCAGCCTTCGTTTTAATGAGGCTCTCCGGTGGAAAAAGGAGAAGGCACGATGTCTGTAAGAGCTCTGCTGCTCTCTTTACATCCTTTCTGTTTGAGAGTGCCACTGGGCTTTTCCTCCCACCCCAATGAAAGGGAGCCCTGAGAGCGCATGACCCACGTTATTATGTACGTATGAGTTAATTCTGCGTCTTTAGTTCTTGTTTTTTGCACCTATGCAGCCTTATCTAACAGTCAAGGAGACTTTATATTAAATGGAGACTTTGTCGTCAGTATGTTTAAAAGGGAAATCAAAGTTGGGAATGCTGTGATCGAATACAGCGGATCGGATAATGCTATTGAAAGGATTAATTCTACAGATCGGATTGAGCAAGAAATAACGCTTCAGGTGAAGTATACGTTGTGCGTGTGGAAAAGTCTGCCCAGCATTATTGGACTGAAAACAGTGGGCAGCGAAGTCTGTTGGTTTATTCTGCTTCATCTTTTTTTCCCTCAGGTTTTATCAGTGGGCAATTTGTACAATCCCGATGTTCGTTACACATTTAATATCCCCATTGAGGACAAACCTCAGCAGTTTTACTGGAATGTGTACGGCCCGTGGCAGCCCTGCAGTAAGCTCTGCCAAGGTGTGTGCTTGGGAAGGCTTTAAAGAAGACACAGTTTTGTCCTGGATTCATCTGGGATCTGGGCAGTGCTGTTAAATCCCTCTCCATTTGCTTTCTTTGAGATTCTCACATTATGGGCACGATGGTTTCCCTGGGCTGTAGTGGTAGATATTACCGCACGAGGTGTAGCACTGCTCTGCTGCCTCTCCGTTTCAGAGCAGGGCACCTTTACAGCCCCCTCTGAGCCAGGTGAGCCTTGCAACCTGGTTTGCGGGTGTGGAAGCTCAAGCGCAGAAAAGGTTACGTGGCATTTCCGAAGGCTGCAAAAGGCATCGGTGTCTGTTTCGGGTCTGACGCCCGGTCATTCCCACCTGCCAGTGCTGCCCCTGCTAAACGCGCAGAGCCCATCCTTGCAGGCATGCTGCAGCTCTGCCTGCGTCCATCTCATCTGCGTTAAACCCCTTCTGCTCTTCTTAGAGAGTCTTTAACCCCTTCCCTGTTTCTGAAAGAGATTTAAAAGCATAATTAAATGTCTCTTAATTGCTACTATAAAAGGAGTAGGAGAAATAACTGATTTGATCGCTTTCCTGCATGACTTAAACAATGTGCGGTTTTTTTCTGTGTAGGAGAACGAAAAAGGAAACCCATGTGTACAAGAGAGTCGGATCAGCTCACGGTGTCGGACCAGCGATGTGATCGAATTCCCCAGCCTGAACCCGTCACTGAGCCTTGTAGCACAGAATGTGAATTAAGGTGCACTCTACTCAGCCGTGTGTATACATTACATCGTATATTTATTGTTTACTCCTCTTTCCTTTCACTTCTCACCATAATTCCTTTTCTCACCAGTATTAGACTTGAAAAAAGAAAAGGATTAGCAGTTGCTTCTTTGTCAACCAAGAGGGATTGACATCCACCAGCTGTGTTTTGAAAGGCACTTTTCTACATTTTCACATTTCTCTTGTTGGATTAAATTAGTGCTAACTATTAAAAAAATCACCTAATGTTGAAAAGTCTCCCTGTGCAATACAGTGCCTGAAATTTGCATCTGCCTGGATCAGAAATGCTCAGCACCATCCTACAAACAGCCTGCAAAGAGGGAAAAACAGATGCTCAAAGCAAAAGAGTAACTAAGACTTGGATTTATCATCGTTTGCTTAAAGCAAGGAATGGGCTTAAGTGTAGAGCGGGTTTGGGGCTGTCCCCAGACAACTCCTGGCGAGCTGGAATCGATGGAGCATGGCCTAAATCATCACAACCCGTTTTCCTTTAAAAAGCAATCTGTTTTCCTTTCTGGAGCTTAAATGTGGTGGCATTAAATGGCTGCTGGTGAAGCAGTTCAGATGGCCATGTTTCCCAGGGGGTTTCTCTGGCTGTGTTAACCCCGGGGCTGTATAGGGGCTGTATAGGGGCTGTAGGTCGGGTTGTCGCGGTAACAGCTGTTGCCATTGCAACAGGTTGGAAACCTGAGAAGGGCAAATGCAGGAGTTTGAAAAGCAGGCAAGGATGTGAGGGCTCCCCCCCCGTTCAGGAGCTATTGACTCCAAATCCCCTTGATCTTATTCTTCTCCTGGCTGTGCTGAACCCTGCGCTTAGGAGCGGGGCTCTGTGCTCCCCGCACAGGCGCTTGTAACAGCCCGGGGGTCTCCAGGACCCGCAGGGGATGTCACTGCCTCCTTCCCCAGGAGCCACCCCTGCGAGGCGCGGGGGGCAATCAGCTCCTGTTGACTCCGGGGTTTCCGACATCTCCCTGGATCAGGCCTCATGTCCAGCATCCCTTGCCAGAGCTGGGGCGGGGGCTGATGTAAAACAGGGGTGTCTCCCTAGGTGGGTCCTTGAGGGCCACCAGCACCGGCCCTTGCTGCCCATCTCAGGAAGGAAGCACCAGGGTGGGAGTCTGTCTGTCCAGAGGGAACACCCCTAATCCCCGCTGACACCTCTGGGGCTCCCGTGTCTTGGAGCAATTCATTTTCAGCTTCGGAGAACTGAAACTGTTTTGCAGGCATCCTGCCGTGTGGAGTGCCTTGTCACACCTTTCAAGCCTGTGCAGATCGTTTTCTGACGCTGTGTTTTTCAGCTTTTAGTTTTTAGAGGCCGAGGTGGCACTCCTGCAGGGGAACATGGGGCGGAAAGCCTTCAAAGCGCTGCTCCTCGCTTGGCCATGGACTCTCCCCACCGCCTTGCATGGTCCTGCAGGGTTGCAGTGTGGCTTTGCTGCCCATAAGAGGGACCTGGTGACAGTTCCTTCCCCCCAGGGAGCAATGCCAGGGTGAATTGCTTCATATTTTTGGAAGCCACAAAGCTTTGGGAAGTTCTGTAAACAGCCAAAACTTCCAGTTCAAGAGTGTATATTCCCTATGTATGTCAGACACCCCCGAGCATGTTACTTGCAAGCCCCACAGCTCTTTCCACCTCTTCTGATCCTCTCCAAGGCAGGTGCCTTCGTGTGAGCTCATGGGGTTTTTGCTGCGCCAGGGCTGATATTTGCTCTCCTCGGCTCAGGTGGCATATCGCGAGGAAGAGCGAGTGCACGGCCCAGTGTGGGCTGGGGTACCGCACCCTGGAGATCTACTGCTCCAAGTACAGCAGGCTGGAGGGGAAGATAGAGAAGGTCGACGACCGCTTCTGCAGCAGCCAGTCCAAGCCGAGCACGAGGGAGAAGTGCACTGGAGACTGTAATGTGGGAGGGTGGCGGTACTCGGCCTGGACCGAGGTAAGGGATGCTTGGCGGTACGGTAGACACTGTCTCCTCCTCACATGGGGCTGTCAGGCTGTTTAGGTTGCATACAGCGTATAGACATTGGCCACCGTGATTCTGCTTCCATTGCTTTTTCTGGAGGACACTGTAGTCCAGATCAGCCTGGTAGTCCTCATTTTCCACTGCAGTGAATTTACATTTTTAAGCATCCCAAGATCTGTCTTCATTAGGCTGAGCCCTGCTGGCTGTCTTCTCCCATCACAGCCAGCCCCGCTGGCAGGAGCCAGAAGGACATGTTACCATCAGTGGAGGACTTCTGAAATTTGTTTCCTTTACACTTTTTAGCAGAATACTTTTCCATGGTCAAGAATATTCCTGAATGCAGACCTAGCACCGGGCATGGTGAAGGGGGGCAGGCTGGTTAGAGAGAATTAATCTCTCCTAAAATGAGAACAAGTAACAGCCATTTGGGAGAACTGAAAGGCAACACTTGTAAAAGTAATAATGGGGTTATAACCCAAAATGAATTTGTGAAACTCATTGCCACGAGATTTTATTAAGCTTAGCAAGATTGGATTTTTAAAGGAATATATAAAGTAACAGCCTGTTCCTTAAAGTACAAATTGTTCTTCCGGAGGTTTTTTGCAGTCTCTTCACAGTCCTGACTGCAAGGGGGGGGGAAGGAAATAAATGGGCTCTCGGCCTGTAATAGAGTGGCAGAAAGTATTTACTCAGTGTCTTTCCTTCCCAGTGCTCCAAGAGCTGCGGCGGGGGCACGCGGCGGCGGCGAGCCATGTGCGTGAACACCTACAACGATGTCCTGGACGACAGCAAGTGCAGTCAGCAGGAGAAGCTGACGGTGCAGCGATGCAGCGACTTCTTGTGCCCCCAGTGGAAAACTGGCGACTGGTCTGAGGTAGGTGCTGGTCACCAGGGTGGGCTCACCCTGCTGGTCCTCCACCCCGAGGGGCTGGTGCAGACAAAGTGCCTGCAAAGATATATCCTTGCTCATCCCTCGTGTTTTATTTGCATAGCCTGCAAGTGCCGTGCCCTGGGGTGTGGTGGCACCATGCCCCCTGCAGAAGGTCTCCCCAAGCCTGTGCAAAGGGAGGCTTGAGACAGGCAGCAAAGCCACTGGCCTTGTCGCCACCAGTCAAGTGGCCGATTTCCTCTCTGCAAAGCCACAGGGGGTTAATTCCTCTCCAATCCTGCGGTAATTTCTCCCCAGTTTTTCCATGGTTCCTCTGCGGCTTTGGGAAGAAAAATACCTTCTGCCCTCATTTTTCCTTGAGATCATCCTCATGAGCCCCGGCAGCTCTGGCTGTCGCTGGAGGGCAGGATTTCACCCTACTAACATCTTGCTCAGCCCTCTCCCTGCTGTTTATTACCATTACCTCTTCTACTGCTGCTGGTGCCCTTTGCAGTGCAACAAAACCATACCTTGATAGCCTCTTCCCTGCAGCAGGGCCAGGGATGCTGAAGAACAGTCTTCAAAGGCTGCTCGTCACCTTTGTGGCCAAATAGCTCTCGTTTCTGTGAGTCACGTTCTTTTAGGAAATAATGAAAGCAATTAAATGGGAACAGGGATTGTTCTCTGCAAAACATCTGTCTTCTGGGTCGAGCTGCTGCCAGCCTGAGCCATGCCAGGGCAGTGGAAGAGACACTTACAGTCTGCGGGAGCCAAGACCCTTATTGCCCACACTCAGAGCCGAGCAAGTTTTTCTGCAAGCCTTTGGCACCCTGTTGTGCACAGCCAAAGCCCTGTTGGGCAGTGCTGTGGCTTTACCCTATGTCACACAGCTGCTGGAAGTAGAGCCTTCGTGGTCTTGTGTTGCCTGTGCTGACGGGTCCCAGCCTGGCTACGCTCTCCACACTCCAGCCTCTGCTCTGGACCAGCTCCTGAGAGCAATCCCATCTTGTTGCAAGCCGCTTGCTTGTTTTCCAGTGCACGTGGTCATTAGCTAAATAGCCGCCTCTCGGCACCAGTTTTTAAGCGGTGATTTGCAGCGGGTCTCCAGGTTTCTTTTTCAGCGCCGGGGCAGATGCTGAGCTGGCAGCGCATCTCTGGCACCGCCTGAGCTTGTGCTTTACTCCTCGCAGTGCCTGGTCACCTGTGGAAAAGGGCATAAACACCGCCAGACCTGGTGCCAGTTTGGAGAAGATCGATTAAACGACAGGTTTTGCGATCCCGAAACGAAGCCGGAGTCAGTGCAGACGTGCCAGCAGCAAGAGTGTGCTTCGTGGCAAGTGGGGCCGTGGGGCCAGGTACCGCAGAGCCACCGCGGGGCTCCCGGCCGGTGGGACCTGGGTGCTGGTGGCTGAGGCTGGGTGCTACCCTTTCATCCATATTCAGCAGCGTAACTGCGTTAATTGATTTGCACACCAAAGCAGCCCTCTGTTCGCCTGGGTTCAGTGGATGGGCAGTAATAACAGTACCTGCCCTTTGTGCTAAATTTAATCTGTGTCATACTAAATTGGCCGTGATTTTCAAAAAAGGGGTTTCCAAGGTTACACTACTAAATCCATATTTAGACACGTAAATACATGGCCTAATTTTCACAGAAAAGCTGCTCCCGTTGAATGGCTTTTGTTGCTTTTAATGTTTTCCAGTTTCTGGGTTGGTGAGAGTTTTTTTTCCTGTTAAGATACAAGTTGTTCATTTCTCCCGGAGTGTTCTGGCATCTCCTTTTCCACAGAGCTGTTAGCTCTTGACTTAAAAAAAAAAAAAAGAGGCAACAAACCCAGACCAGTTGTCCCAGTCAGACTTATTTTCCCATCAGCACAATTATTCATTAGCCGCTTGTGCTACCGTGGGGCTGACCAACCAATTTTAAAGGAGGATATGGTACAGGTTTTACCAGACTATGATTTACTGTGTGCAGCAAAGTAAATCGTTTAAATGCTCACACCTTCCTTCCCGAGGAAGCAAGTGAAGCATGCAAGGCTCTGGTGGGCACAGTGAATTAAAACTTCGACCTAATTTAAAGCTGAAATGCATGAAGTGGAGAGAAACCAGAAGGGAAGGTGCGTTCTATTTTTGCTGCTCATGCTGCATCCCTAAACACAGGCTGGGCTGATTAATACTTTCTAACTGAAGCAGCTACTCAGACCCAACACTTCTTTCTCCCATCTGTCCTCTCCCAGTGCACGACGACTTGTGGCCAAGGTTACCAGATGAGAGCAGTGAAGTGTGTCGTGGGCACCTACGTGTCAGTGGTGGATGATAATGAGTGTAATGCTGCAACCAGGCCAACAGATACCCAGGTAAATCTGTCCCATCTCCATCTTTTGCCAGCGTGCATACGGAGGCATCCAGGCTGCAGCTTCAGGGGATGTCTTGCTGCAGCAAAGGCTTGTCCTGAACGCCAGCCCGTGCAGAGCAGTATCCTGGTCCTCTAAGAGCTCGTGAGCTGAAGAAGCAGCAGTAGATAAATATGGGAAGACAACCAGGGAGTAGAAGGGTGCACTTCCTTTGGCTTGCACGGGGTCTGGGATGCCTGTCTGCATTCTGGGCTCGCTTGGCTGCAGGACCATTGCTGAGTGGTACAAATGACAACTAGGAGCCACCATTTCTTGTCTGCTGCACGTGACAGTGTAGTGTGTGGGCCAGCTGCAATTCCAGGTGCATCCCCCCTGGCCAGATAAATTGAGAAATGTTGCACACCCTTTGTAAATTTGCTGAAGAGGCTTTCCATGCTGTGTTTGCTGGTACTTGGAAGCAAACTTGTAAATTCCCATTTCAAGCAGAGGATGTGTCCGTGGTGTCTGAAGGACTTGAATAAAGCAGGACGTTACCGTCTATGTGTCATCTAGGGAAGTCGTAGTGCTGATGCCCTGCCCAGCTTCAGTCCTGCATGACTTCACAGAGTTTAACTAAGGCCACAACATTTAGGAAGGGGCTGTTTTTCCCATGTATGGAGGCCAGTTGCACTATAGTCAAGGGGTAACAAACCCACTTGCTGTCAGCCATCGCTTGGCGTGCACATCTCCAGTGTAAGTAAAATCACAGCAGTGCGGAAATCATTCATGCCATTAGTGAAGAGCTGCTCTCTCCCTTGCAGTGACGATCAGTATTAATTTCCTTTTTGGCAATGACTACTCGTAGGCTCATGGAGTAAAGTCATGGCTATTCATAATTTCTGTTGCCAGACCTCCCAGGAGGTCCAGACAGGACCAGAACCCTCCTGTTAGGCACCGTACCAAGGCTGAGCAGAATGACATGCCTGCCCCCAAAACCTTGCATGCTTAGTGTGTGGTGAAGATCAGCACGTGGATATAGGTGGTCTGGTGGGCTTGCAGGGAATCAAAGGGCTGCAATCAGCTCAGCAGCGTAACCTTTATTAAGTGGGCTGCAGGTCTCGCTCTGAAGGAAAGGAGCTTTGAAGGGAGATAAAGTTGCTGCTTTGCAGATGTGTGTTCATATCAGAATTCTCTTAATGAACTTTCATCTTTTGCCCCAAAAACATCTGGTTTTAATGCACGGAGATAGCACATGGTTATGGGGATCCCTACTGTAGAGTTCCTAATCAGTCAAAAGTCCACCAAGGTTCTGCATATGAAGCCCTTGGGGTATCGATAGCAAATTTTGCTGATTCACCAAGAGGACGCAAGGAGAAAGCCTGCCAACACACAAGCATGCAGGTCACAGATTTTCAAGACGTTGTGTGTGGTTGATAATTACATCGAAGAGGAGGTGGTTTAACTGAAACATCTGCAAATTCTTTATTTGCCTCTTTTTCCCTCATGTATTTCACGTACAGGACTGTGAAATAGCAGCATGTCCACCCCATCCAAATAGTCCTGAAGCCAAGAGATCCATATCGGGCATTCACAGGACGCAGTGGAGATTTGGATCCTGGACACCGGTAAGCGTGTATCATAATACTTTCAGGATTATTTTACAGTAGACAATGTGATATTTTTAAATGCATTTGATGACCTTTTTGTTCCAAAGCCCTTCTAATATATATTGGGAAACTTTCTAGTGGGGTGCTTTTTGCTCTTCCCTAGTGCTCCGCAACGTGCGGGAAGGGTACCCGGATGAGATACGTCAGTTGTCGAGATGACCAGGGCTCGGTGGCTGACGAGTCAGCTTGTTTCCACCTCCCGAAGCCGTCATCTACGGAAATGTGCACCGTGACGCCGTGCGGGCAGTGGAAGGCCTTGGAGTGGAGCTCTGTAAGCATCACGCTGTCTCTTGCAGGAGAGCCTTATAGACCTCGTTGCTGGAAACGTGTTTCATTAATCTGTCACGCTTGCCCATAACTGGGGAGATTAAGGTTTTCTGCTGTTCGTTATTAGCAATAGCTGTCTGCCTGATTTTCAAAGCTGGAAATGTGACTGTGTCTCCTTTTCCCACTGTAATGCAGTGCTCGGTGACTTGTGGTCAAGGTAAGGCAACGCGACAAGTGATCTGCATCAATTACAGTGACCAGCTGGTGGATAGGAGTGAGTGCGATCCAGACGACCTCCCTGCCACCGAGCAAGACTGCTCCATGTCTCCTTGTCATCCAAACAGCCATGACTACGGCAGGCCCATCCACCCTTTCCTCTATCCGGATCATCGCCTGAAACTGCACCCCGGAGGCAGCCCGAACCGAAACCGTGCACATATACCAGGAGGCAATCAGTGGAGGATTGGCCCCTGGGGTGCTGTAAGTGCCCTGATTTTCTTATTTCTGGTTTCTTTGTTTGGTTTTTTCCCCACTGGGCTAAGCCAGGCTTTTCTTAACGTCACCACTCAGGGAAAAGAAGGACCCTTCTCCCCTCTTTCTGCTCTCTGCTCACACAAACAAGTGTTGCAGTAGGGTGCAGGCATCACTTCCCAGCCTCTCACACCTCGTATCTCCAAGGATCTCCAGGCAGAAAGCTGGCGGCATCATTTTCCATGAGGCAAAGGCCAAACTCTGCTTCTGGGCTGTCTCCCGGGATGTTTACAGCTGCGCAGAGCTCTTGCCAAAGCAGAGCAGAGCCTTAATGCCAGTCCCTCTCAGTCCAACCAGTTTGCAGCGCTTTATCACGGAAGTCCCTAAAGGGAATTAAGCGCAAATGGGATGTCAAACACTGCATTAAAGGCAGTGGGGATTACTCACCTGCTTAAAACTAGGCTCATGTTTATTTTCTTTGCTTACTCAGCACCTAGGTCATTGCACTGCTATTAGTAATAGCTGGGTTTTGAAGTTAATAATGCCTGTTAGCTGTATTAAATTTCTAGCTGCTCATTCCCACGGTGCAAGGCGCTGGGAATGCAGAATTATTCCTGGACTCAGCGAAGCCGTGGGCAATTGTGTCTTTCAGTGCTCTAGCACGTGTGCGGGGGGGTTCCAGCGGCGGGTCGTGGTGTGCCAGGATGAAAACGGATACACCGCAAATAACTGCGATGAGAAAAGCAAACCCATGGAGCAGAGATCATGCGAATCTGGCCCCTGTCCTCAGTGGGCTTATGGCAACTGGGGAGAGGTGAGTGCGCCATTCATCCTGGGCTCCCTGCACAGGGGAAGGCTTTCATTAGCAGGTGGCTGAAAAATGGCAGAAGAGGGGGATATTGCGGTGACATTTATTAGAAAGACTGGAGCATGAGAGGCAGCTTCTGATAAATGAGTGAACCCTAGCAACTGCTTGGCGGTGTTTTCCGTTCCATTTGTCATGGGAAAATTTTCTTCCCAGGCAAAAGCAAATTCTACAAAAATTGAGTTTTTCTTTTTTTTCTTTTTAAGATAAGTCCAGTTTAAGTGAAGGCCTTTTTTTCTTAATAAAAACACTGCTCCCTTCTGAAAATTTGTCTGAGATGAGCAATTAGAGACGTTAGCCTCCAGTATCATGTTGAGTCTGGCAGTATCATTGTGGGGCAGCACGAACAGCTTTAGGAAGAGAGAAGCTGAAGCAGCTGATGCCCCATCTGAGGCTCATGCAGCGTTTGGGGGGGATTTGGCCCGAGTGGGTTGGTTGGGAACAGAAACAACCGTTTGGTCTTGAGAGGTGCTAGTGCTTCGAGCGACCGGTCGGCAGTATTTTTGCTGCCCAGACGGTGATTGCTCTGTCCTCTGCTGACTTCCAGTGCACGAAGCCATGCGGGGCAGGGACAAGAACACGGCTGGTGGTGTGCCAGCGCCCTAATGGAGAAAGGTTTACGGATCTGAGCTGTGAAATCCTTGACAAGCCACCGGATAGAGAGCAGTGCAATGTGCAGGACTGTCCTAGAGATGCTGCCTGGAGCGCTGGTCCTTGGAGCTCGGTACGACCATAAACTCTTTCTCTTTGTGAACCGTTTTGTGGATGTCCCGTAACAACAGATTTAATTTGCTTCAAACCAAGGTGCTAATGCTTCGTGTCTTAAAACTGCACTTAAAGAGGATTATTGACAATATATTCAGAATAACACCTGTTCAGGAAGGGCTTACATTAGGGGAGCTCGAGTCCTTTAATTTAAAAGGCACTTTCTGCTAAGTAGCCACTTTTGTCCGTTTTATTACACTCTGCAAGCGCTGTGCATTGTGAGTCTTGGTTCTGAGTTCTTTGCATATGGATTTAAACCTGGCATTTAAGCAGTACATTTCCATTGAAGTTAAATTGTTCTGATATTTAATGGTAATGCTGCACTGTGCACCTACTGGTTTACCAGTCGCGTGTTCTCTGCCAAAAGCAAGATGACAGGGGAAAATGTGTACTAAATTGCATCAACTCCCAAGCATGTACAGGTGTATAGGTGTGTGTGCGTGTCCCTACCTGCCCCCACACGCAGCTATATAGAAACACGCATGCATTCACACCCGTGCTCTATTTCTGTTCCTGTGTATATATCATATGAGTGTGATGCATTGTGCAAAGGCACCTGTAAGCTGTTCTCATGCTTCTCTCTGGTTCTGGAGAGTTATTGTCTGGCCTGATCTCCAGCTGCTGCTCTAGATACCATTAAGTCAGCAAGGGATCAGCAAGGTGGTGGAAGGCTTAAAACCCTGGGATTTTTCTAATAACAAAACAGTGTTACAGACGTATAGCGTATACAGACAGCGGAGTTGTCTTACACTGCTCCTTTGCCGCTGGAGGAGTCTGCTACAGAGATGCTCTTGCGATGGCAGAGCAGCCCTGAGCCAGGGGGCTGGGATGCTATTTTGGGTCCCACGGCTTTGAAATTCTCCCTGCCCAGAGCAGCACCTTCTGCTCGGCGCGGAGCCCCGGTGCGCCAAGGCGAGTGACGCCTGGGGCGCCTCTGGCATGCTGGAATCCACGGACCTGCCGGTTTTGGAGTGGCCTTCAAACAAATGTCGACCTTTATTGTGTATTTTGTTATAAAAGCATTTGAAGAAAATTTAAAAAAAAACTTAATCTGACTCAAAAGCACTTTATAGGAAAACAAAAAAAGAGGCCTGTTTGTAATGTATTGGACTTCCTTAATTGTCATGGTTTGAAAAGTCATCTTGCTAAAAGGTAACCGCACTCTCGTTTCTGTGGGTGCTTTCAGTAACGCGGATGCCTTCAGTAACGCTCCTCAATGTTTTTACCATACCTCAGTGAGTTATGCAATAGCCATAAAACTGCTGAACTGGTGTTTTATACGGTGCTTCACCAGTACAAGGGACAGCGATATGAAATATTTCATTTGAGGTGCTAATGTATCACTTGTACGCTGATATAGTTGGTGCTAAAAATGAGCGAGGTGAGCTAAGCAGAGCTAGCAACCTGTGCGGTGGCGTCCCCGCAGAGTTACCGGCTGGGAGTTGCTGCCAACCTTTGTTACCTGTGCTGGACCATTTGCAAGAACCAAAGGTGTGGACAGAGTTGTGTTGCATTTTGATGTCGCTCAGCGTTCAGCCTCTTCACAGCTCTTCAGGAGCAGGCTCCAGGGCTGCGTCTGCTCCTCTGTGTTGGAAATGCAGGGTGCAGTCCTGTATTTTGGTTTGGGGTGGGTTTTTTTAACCCAGGAAAAATTCCCTTGACTCTACTAAGTTGTGTTACCCTTGGTGGGTTGTCCTTGCTCGGTCTCCTGGGAGCGGGTGGGATGTCAGAGGGTAGGGGCATCCTATCCTGCCTGCGGCATCTCCTCCCAGCTGCCCGCAGGGCTCGCAGACCCCTGGCCTCCCGCAGGTGAAGGGGCTGCAGTGCTGAGCCCCAGTCGTTGCCACAAAATGACTTGATTTTTCAGGTCTTGCTACCGAGGTGTCATTTGGCTCTGAGGTAGGGGACCCCGGAGCTGTTTGAAGACTGTATTGTGTCTATGGGGTCAACAGGGCTTCGTGTCCCTCCTGCAAAATACTCCACATATATGTCTACCTCGTGCTACTACTGTAGGTAGTAACGTCCAAATTTTTTTTCTTTAGTGTGGTATCACCTGGATTTGCTTTAGCTCTGTCGTTGGTTGCAAACATCATTCTGTAGCTGTACATACTTCATCTGTTGGGATGGAGTGTCACTACCATATTTTTTTGGTCACTTTTGAAACAAGAGTATAGTATTAGCTGAAACTTTTCAGCAGTATGGATTTATGTATTTATGTAAAAGTGTATTTATTTTTCCAATATTGTTATTTAATTTTATATAAATATTGCATACATTTACAATGTTTAATGTTAATGTTGAACAGTGAAAATTAAAGACAAGTAGAATGTAATCATAAATGAATTTGTATAATGATTTCTTGAGTCTTCTGCTAAATTAAGATCATATACATAGTTTTGGTAACTTTTACTGAATTTTCTGAAATGGTACTGCATCTTTTGACTTGCTTTTCTTTTACTTGCTTTGTTCTCCAACAAACTGTCATTCTCAATAATTAAACCAACACAGTTAAAAGTGTCTGAATTATGAAGTTTGGATAACTAATTTCTTGCAAGCATCCGATTGACTTAGCTTCACTCAAGTTTAGTGAAATTAGTACTATAAAATACACACAAATTTAAAGCAGAGGTAGTCTGAAGAGTCCAACCCTCAGTCCTCAGGTGAAATTCCACTGGGATTTTATACAGTAAACAAATGATTTTATCTGGCTGGTTAAATCCAGGTTTTAAAGAGAAAATTAAATTAATAAACAGATTCTGTATGTAAATGGTAATTTTATAACAGGAGACTGGTGAGATGCCTTGTCATTATAATGTATGTTCAAAGAGGACTAAGAGGAGGTGACACTTTTTATTTCCTTGCTTATTTAAGAACATGTATTTAAACACTGCAGAATTGTACACCATGTGAATAGACCTGACCTTTTTATTAAAATAATGCTTTAGAAAACATGCAGAGACTGTCACCAGGATACAGAGAGTGGTTTTTCTCCTCTGAATGCCTTATAGTATGAACGCAGATCTCCATACATGCTCTCGAATACCGAGAGGAAATCTCGCCATGTTCCCCGGAACGAGGGAGATGCTCACGGAGAGTATTATCCATCACTTCACTTAACCCAAGGCTGAACCCACTGCCTTCGGAGCAGATCTGCTCCTTGCAATAACCTCCGTGGAATTTTGATGCTGTAGAGTTACCATAATATACAGCTGTATCCTGATACAATTTATGAATAATGCTGAATTCATGCATTCATTGTCATGGGCTTGTCGTTCTTTCCGAGTTAGGAAACAGGCACAGATAAGGTAAAACAATTATATCTCACAGCACCCTGTCCTGGTTCAGTCGGGTGAGTCATCTGGACTTCACTGCAGTGGGATAGTAATCATTTGAATTTGACTTGTGGAAAATCAGTGGGTGGATGGTTTTTAGGGTTTGATTTTTTTTTTTTTTCTTCCTAAAGACTATTATAATTTTAAAAGTAATCTTTGTCAAGTACTTATCGCTCTTGGGTATCAAAAGTTCTAGCTGCTAACGCAATGGTTGTGTAGCTCTTAGTGCCTGCAAAATGTCGGTGTGTGCTTCCCAGCTCTTTAGCGAATAGGCAGAAATGCCGGTATCTTAGTCTTTGAGGGGCTTTTGATCTAACAATGAAGAATTGGAAGCTTAGCGTAAAATAATTAGAATATTAGCTGGCTAAGCTCCAAACTCTGTAATTGTCGATGTGAATTCAGGTTTGAGTTAGGGCAACGATGCCGTAGCCCCCTTAGCCAGAGCTGGAAGCTGCTGGCATTGATGGCTTAGCAGGGTTCTTCGGCTGTGCACAGGGATGCAAGTAGCGGCAAAGGGGCTCTGGACTCGGTGGGAAGTGGGAGGACTGCCTGGCCAACATCTGTCTCGGGGAGCTGGCACTCAGGAATTTTAATCTTAAAATTGGTGTCAATGGAAAGTTCACGTTATTTGTATTTAATTCTGTCAAAGCCCCCAACATGTTGTTTACGAAATGCCCTCCCCATGAAGCTGGCTGAAAATAGGCCGTTCAACAGCAATATTCTCCATGTCATTGTTCTGATAATATTCTTAGCAGGCAGGATGTCAGCTCTTGCTAAGACAGAAGTGATAACCAGGGGCAGATTTGGTTGCAAGTGTATATAACTCTGCTGTTCTCTTCCTCTCTTCTGCAGAAAATGAATTTGCTGTGACAGCAGCATTAGTGAGCTGCTGTATGATTCTTTACACATGTTTTTGCAATAACAAAGCCATCCTTGAAAATTAAGTGATAGGCACGCTGAACTCTCAGTCACTCAGTGATTCACGTTGCTTTTTCTGTCCTTCATTCATATGATGTTGGTTCAGGCTCTGAGACTGTGACAGCAAGTCTGTATTTCTCTGTAGTGCCAGGTATTATCAGAAAACTAATAAAAACAATCCTACCCTGAGAGCCTGTGGGGGAAGGACAAATGTTGCTGCAGAAGAGGAAGGCTGCACGTACGGTCCCAGCACCCATAGCCCAGGCAGAGGATGCACTAGGTGGCTTGCATGCCTTTAGAAAAACGGATAGAAATAGATGCCTTAGTGAAGATTGAATAAAGCTGATCCAGACCAAAATGAGAACTTGGTAGCCTGTGGATATCCCCAGCCATCTGTCTGAAACTGTCTCCATCTCAGAGCTGTTTACTGTACACTTAGGCTGGCCCACCAAGGCTGTTGTCCCTCTTGGGTTCCTGGCTGTCTCCCTTCTAGGATCGCTCAGACCGACTGACTCCAGGGACTGCCGGTTCGGTGTGCTGATGAAAGGCAAGAAGTTGTCTGCTTTGATTCCCCGGTCAGGAAAAGGCCTTTGACAGTGCAGACCTGTCTGCTTTTGTTTTAAAAAAGCAAACCAGACCCGTTTCAGCCCTTCCCTGTACCCCCTGCTGTGGTCACCTGTCCAGAGCATCCCACCACCAGTGCCCAGCT